ACTGGTACAAGCAGCAAAAATAAAGCAGCAGACGCGATTTTGCTGCTTTTGCTGCGTCCGGTGTGAACGTAGCATTATAGAAATATCTATTTAACATTTCTTTCTAGCAGGTGCAGAAAACTGTTATGAGACGGAACGAGACCCTCTCTCAATGAAAGGTTTCCATCTGTATGACTGTTTTCTTTTCATTCATGCAGCTGAAAGATCCTGTCATACAAGCGGATGAAGATTAAAATATTGTTCCTTGTTTTGTTTTTGGTTTTTACAAGCAACTTAAAGCAGAACTTAGATAAGATAACTGATAAGTTTTCATACTTTTGAAGCACATTTTCCTCCTCTTGAAGTTGAGCACTGTGAAGTTGAGGTGACTGGTCAGATTGATCTGCATTGTGACAAACGCCTCTTCGTCAAAGTTTTCCGAACAGACCATGTCCACCCTGAAGACTGGAGGGAACAAACATGAAAAAGGACTTTTAACACTTTCAGGAATGCAGTGAGGCATAAATGCAGGACAGTTTTGTGAAATTGAAAAAAAACATAAAAAAAAAAAAAAAAAACTAAATCTAGAGATAGACCAATACAGGTTTTTAAAGGCTGAAACAGATTATTTTAACTTCAGTCTAATTTAAAAAAAAAAATCCTTAACATGTGCTGTGATTTTTCAAGCAAAAATACTTTTTTTTCACATGACTAAAACAAAACAGTTACATCAAGTATCAAACATGTCCCTATTTAGACAAAGAAGGAACGTTTATTTACAAATCTAACAATTTGGGACGGAGAAGCGATGCATGCACTTTAAAGTGATCTTAAGGCACATCGGTTAACACACTCATGAATCGTTTGATGCAAATCAAGGCTAATGCATAGATCCATCTCTACCTAGATCCCAATCTTTAGCTAGGGCAGTGCTCTTGGTCAGGCTTTTGAGGCAGCCCTCTCCCTTGGGAGAACAACAATCCACACATTGATTGCATCACCATGCGATGCTCTTGGCACAATGCTGCTTTTACTGGAGCGTTGAGCTTTTTCTGTCTGACCAAATTATTCTCCCAGATGTTCCAAACAATGGGAAAGAATTGGCTTTCCATCTTGGTCCTTCCTGGAGAATTTCAGTCTGACATCTTAGACCGACACTAATGAAGTAGTGACGTGTCTATGGTGGACCTGCCTGATGCACAACAAGCCCTGCGCTGGTGGCAGCAAGACAAGGTCAGATCATAGAGTGAATTTTGTTCCATTATTGTTGCAGGCAAAGAACACATTTAGTAAATGGAAAAAAAAATTCTGAATAAAGAATTGAAACTTTGAAAACATTATTAGTTAATGTTCTGATTTTATTATTTTCATTTTTTTCATAGTCATAAGTGTTTTTGTTTTTAAATTATGTTTTTTCAAACTTTATCTTTTAATTTAATTTTATTTTTTAAGGCTTCATATCTTCCAAAAAAAATTACCTAAATTAAAAACAATCCACTGGACTTTGTTTCCAAGTTTGAAGACGTTTCGCTTTCCATCCAGGAAGCTTTTTCAATTCAAAATATGGAAAATGTGAAAAGCTTCCTGGATGGGAAGCAAAACGTCTTCAAACTTGGAAACAGTGGATCGTTTTTAATTTTCTTTTTTTGGATGACTATGACCGGGATTACTGAGAAATCTTCACCAACATATCTACATATCTTTACATTTTATATTTTGACATTTCTTTTTTTAGATGTTTCAAAAAGTTAAGCAAATTTTTACAAAGTTTTACTGATGTTATTTTATGCAAGTTGCATTTTAAAGATCTAATTTATTTTAAACCCAAGCCCAATAAAAACGTCGTCCATGCAGACCAATAGAAATGAGTTTTCCCTCCTCACTTTAGAGAAAAGCCTGCAAAGAAGTTAAATTTTATTAGAAAAAAAAAATCAATGAGTAAAGCTCAATTTAATAAAAGAGTAACCTTAGTAAAATATGAAAGAAAACATTTTTTTTGTTTTTTTTTTTTTAAACTTATATTTACAAAACCTGGTCTTTGCTCACGACAATAATGGAACAAAATTCATTTTGTGATCATACTTTTTTTTTTTTTCATCTTAAAACAGAAAAACCCATTATTTTTTATAAAGCTCTTTGCAACAAATGAGTATGCATGAAATAAATGAGAAAAATGTCGGAACCAAAACTGAACGAGCAAAGTTTTCCAAACATCAATGCTAAAACCCATATGATACCAGCACTGACATTCAACCACCAGGAAGAGAAAAAGGAACATAAGTTTAAGAAACTGATTGAATGAGGAGCAGCAGTGTCCTTCTTATCCTCCGCTGATGAGGGCATAAGTCACGAATAAAAAAAAAATAATAAAAAAAAAGGAAAAAAAAAAAGGAGTTGGTTGAAAAATTGAGCAAAAGATAAAAACGGAATGCTTTAAAGACCTGAGGGAACACGGGGCATCTCTCCCTGACTGGAGATGTTGCTCGATGGGGGGTGGAGGACAGCAGGGTTCTCCACGTAGAATGCCAGTTGGTAATCAACCTTTGAAAGACAAACTATTATTAACATCCCACTGATTTCACACAAATGTAAACGTTAATAAAGAGCTAACTCTTACCTTTGACCTGGAATACCATGTGAAATAAAGACTGTTGGTCTCGGTGGGCACAGGCATGTTAAAGGAGAGAGCGTAATTGCTCACCATATCATTTCGTACGTAGTACAGCTCTGCATCTAGACCTGTGGATGAATGGAAAATCTAATTAGAGCAGATTAAAATAGACTGAAAATAAAAACCAGCCTGCAATCAATTCACTTTATTCCGCATCAAGACTGACAAAGAGCAACATTCTCCCTCCAGCTTCTGCCATGATTTCTCTAGTGATGCAGGGAGATATCAGGTAGTGACAAATCTAGGGATGTCACTATACTAAAATTTTAAACTGGATATCAATACCTAGGAAAATATCTAATGCCAATACCCTTTTCAATAAAATTACAAATTATAAGCAGCATAATAAATCCGTTTATCAACATTTAGAGCTCACATTTTTCAGTCTAATTGTGGAGAATGCTTTCACACAGAATCACAGGTGACGGCTAAAAAATGCAAAATAAAGAACCCAAATGTAACACAATCTGACAATATTTTAGGATGTCTGAAGTATTATTTTAAAGTATAAATTATACTGTAATTTAAAAATAACTATAGCAGAAATATGCAAACAACACTTGTCTTTAGTATTGATACCAAGCCACATTAGTATTATATCCAGATACACAACACTGTTAATTCCTTTTAGAGTATCAATGATTTGACAACCCTTGACAGATGACTAGTCTCTGGATAAAAATAAAAGAAATATAGCATCTGTTGGATCTAATAAAGCATCTTTAGTTACTTTAACACTATTGTTAATGTCTTGAAGGGAACGTGTCAATGTGTGAAACTATGAAGGCAAAAACTACTGGAATCTTTTGGATCTCTGTTAGCATATCTAGCTGAATCTACATTATTATTTTATATACGTAGAGATCAACATATTGTGTGTATAAAATAAAATGTTGAGGCTGTTTGCTATGTGTAACTGTTTTATGGTCAGGTAACTACCAAAAGTTTTCATGAGTAAGTTTTATTAAATAAGAAAAAATGTTGAAACCAACAAAGAAATGGGTTTAATTTAATAGCTACCATAGAATATGTGTATATGCTAATTTATAATGCTTCCTTCCTTAGAGAAATTGTTCTATGACTGTTAAATGCTCAGATTTATACTTAAAATGATGGGAAGTGTTGTATTTAAAGAACAAGTGTGTATGTGTGTGTGTGTGTATATATATTATAATTTTCTTTTTTTTTTTTTTTTTACCTCTGTAGTACCACGAGTGAGATTGATGTGTGTTTTATATGCACTTGCCTCTTAAGTGCTGTTAAAGTTTGTTTTTGTTCAGCTGTTCAGACT